GCCTGCTTTGTGGGATCTGCTTATAAGCTAAACTGAAGCCAGCATTTTCTATCTAGGTGTTTTTTTTAAATCTATTTGGCTGCCGTGATTGAACAGTTACTATGTAATTTGTGCTTAGCATTCTAGACGAATATTTTGCTTAATCTTCACAATGCTGTGAGTTAGGTGGATTATCCCCATTTTGCAGACAAAGAAATTGTGGCTCAGAGAGGGTAAGCATGTGACCAGCTTGTACACCAAGCAAGTGCAGAGCCTACATTTGACTCCAGAATCTGTACCTTTTAACTGCTGTGTTCTGTGGCTCCAGTTACTGTGGGATGAATTCTTGACCTCTTGTCCTGTGGAACATGGCACAGTGTTGGGTTATTGCTGGCTCATTCCTCATGTTGAATAGAGGACCTTTTACTTGCTGGCACTCAGCTGAGGCACTGGGAAAATGATGGGGAAGCAAGACACAGACCTGCCCTCCGGGTGCTTCATTTCTGTCTCTCGCAGGCAACTTGGGTTATGGATTTTGGTAATCATTCTTGCAGAGAATTCAGTCCTTTGGACCCTCTTAAGGCTATATTTACCCATTCTCCCTGAGCCTGGTTGTGGAATGATTGGATTTGCTGTGGCCAGTGTGCTGCTAGCTGTTGGTTCTGCATTTTCTATGCCTGGGTTTGACCACGTGGCTTTCAGATGTTCCCTTGCCTAACAGAGATGGGGGGTCAGGTGAAAATTAGGCACCAGATGACATTCAGAATACCTATAGGATGCTGGAAAGCCCATAGAAACTGCAGCAGGATTGTCTGCTCATTTGCCTAGAATTTAGCTACTGCCTCTGTGATCCCCAGTCTTGGGATCTGCCTGGATTCTTGGGTAAGGAATGAAGCTTGAGTTTCTTTTTCTAATCTGTCAGTAACATGAATATTGCAAATTTAGAAAATGTTATCCACACCTTAGCAAAGTTCTGCAATTAGACTACTTTTTTTTTTTTGAAATGAGATTTGACTTTGGTTGTAAATTTGACTTTTAAACAAATCTTATTGCCAAAGGTTTTACCCAGGTGAAAATACTTATTTATGGAACCATGTGGCATACATCCTCATATCATCATGATAAATGATGATAAATGATAAATGATGAGAAAACAATTAAGAAGCCTAGTTGGTTATTGCAAGAGCACCTGTGGCCTTGTCCAGACTAGGGCCTTGGAGACTTGGTTTTCTCATCTCTTAAATAAAGAGTTTGGGACATCATCGGTCCCCAGTTGGTCTAGGCTGGCTACATAAAAATCACCTAGGGAGCTTGTTAAAATACAAGTTTCTAATGCTCCGTCCCTAGGAGATTCTGATGAGAGAAGTATCTCGATGTCTGTAATTTATAAAAATTCCCCAGATAATTCTGCACCAGCTGTACTTGGGAACCACTGGGCTAGAGGGTCTACAAGAAACAGAATTTAGTTGGGGAGAAACTTCTGGTGTGTTTGAAGATTCAGGGAATACTTACGTGCCTGGAGCAGGTTCCATATGAGCAAACTAACCCAGATATGATGCAGAGGTAAATTGGAGCCAGATGATGGAAGAACTTTGACTGGCTGAGGATTATGTTATGTGCCATAGGCCTTGGGGACAAGGAAGGGCTTTGAGAAAAAGCATTTTGATGAGATGGTGCTTTACAAGATTAGTTTTCAATGGCGTGCAGGATGAATTGGTCTGGGCAAGAAACTGAAGGCTGGAAAAAGACCTGAAGTTTTTGCATTGGCTCAGCTGGGAGGTGTGATGAGCACCTGGACTCAGAGGGGAGCTTGGGACCCTTGTAAAGCAAGCCTGCCTCAGTAGAACTGGAATCTCAGACATCTTGTTTTAAGCTATTTTAAAAATCTGTAATTTATCAGTGTTGTGTTCATCTGCTTTAACATTATTATAGTGAATGATTTATATTGTGTTTTTGTCCAGGAGGTTTTAAAAGAATCCAATAAATAAATTCCTGCAGAGAAGTAGTTGGCAGCAGCAACTACAGCTACTACTGCAGGAAAGGAGGGAGGAAAGGAGGAAGGAAAGAAGGGAGCCCTTTCTTGCCAGCCAGCAACCCCATCCTCCATATGTGACCTGTTTCCATATGTAACCTGCCTTATTCTGGAACCTTCCTGATTCCTGTGTTCCAGGCCCTTCATGAGATCTGCTCCTCTATATCCTCAATAGATGGACCCATTTAGAATCAGTTATTGAGCAGCAGAAAAGGGTGGGGAGGTCCTGAGTTTCCTCCTAAGGAGATTGATGGTTAGATTCAGCCTGACACAACACCGCAGTTACCTGCTGCTGGTCACAGAGCTAGAAAACCCAGGCCCTTGCATATGATTTCCAGAAGGTAAATTTGTAAGTGGAAGAACATTCCAGACACATCTCACAACTGCTTTCTCATCCTTGCCAGCCCCAACCCTACTGTTGTTTGTGTTTTTAAAGATGTTTAAGAGAAACAAAGGCAATAACAAAGACACTCTACTACTTTTGCTGTGCTCAGAATCCTCACTTAGGTTGAAAAGAGGGTGAATTTATCATCTCCGTCGACATCTCCTTGAGGAAACTTCACTCATCTCCCCAGGGAGGAGAGTGGTAGAGCAGACACTTATGTGTCCACCTGATGATGGAGGAGAACCGACCAATGGAAAGGCAGAGTGCCTGGGTCTGTCACTCCCCTCTGCCTGCCTGCGAGGCTGTGTCGCTGCACAGCTGTGGTCCCTGCAGGGGGCTGCACATGTAGACTTGGGGCCAGAACATATGCCTGCCAAGCAATCAGTTTACAGGTGCAGGGCAGGAAGGGGCATCATGTCCAAGGTATGTTCTTCAGCACGGTTCATGGAAGCCCTGCATTTGGGTGGTTATTGGGCCCTCACTCAGCCATTTATAAAGCTGATGTGTGGCTCGAGGATCTTGGAGTATGCCTTCATTTGTCAGAAGCCACAGGGAAAGCAAGGTGAGTGCTTGTGTCCTCAGACTCCTGATAAGCATAGCTCCTGGACAGCTTTGTTTGGATGTTTCCCAGGCACTTCAAACTCAGTTGGCCTAAAAGTGAGCTCCCCTGCCTCCTGCTTCTCTGTGTTTTCTGTCTTGGGGATTAGCCTCTGTGTTTTTGTGGCGTCCCAGGCTGAGCTCTGGGTGTCGGAGACTAGGAGGCCGGTGGTGAGCTTACTTTTTGAGCCTCCTTTCTCACCATCCCACACATTATCCCTTCAGCTGCCTGCATCCTGCTTGTCACTCAGGCCTCAGCCAAGACACCACCTTCTCCTGTGCCTTTGCTGACTCACAAGGCTGGGTGCTCCTGCAATCCCCACACTTCTCCACCCCAGTCCACGGAAACACGTTTGTCTGGTCATTTCTCTGCCTGTCCTACTAGCACAGGGCCTGCCTGTAGTATCTATTCCATATATATGCCGTGAATGAGTAACACTCAGGCCTATGAGTACCTGAGACTGTTATAAGCCCAGCTTTGAACCCGAGGCCTATGTTCAGACCCTGCTATTTGTGTGGTCTTGGGTGAGTTCTTTAAGTTCTTGATCTTCAATTTCTTCTTCACCAGTAAAATGGGAATAACAACTGCTTCCCAGGGCAGTGATGATGAATTGCAGTAATCCATGCAAAGCGCTTCGAGCAACGTATGGCACATAGTAAGTGTTCAGTGCATCATAGTGCCTATCAACAACAGCAATAGTTATCCTTAACGAAAGGGAGAAGGCAATAAGAAACACTGGGAACTGGAAATCAGGCCTGCCAAATGCTGCATAATGGATTTAGGAGAGGTGGGGGTTGGTTGAGATAAAACATAGGAGCATATGAGATTACTCTGGGAAAGAATGAACAGGGAGGGAAAAATGGGGCAGGGGACTGAAGGCAAAACCTTAAGAAATCCTACATTTGAGGCATGAGCAGAGTCAAAACAGGAGAGAAAGAGAAAGATTACAACCAGAGATTGCAGCTTCTCAGATGCCAGAGACATGAGTTTCAAAAAGGTAGTCCAGGGTGCTGTGCTGGGCAGAAGGTCAGTGAGGGGAAGACTAGAAGAGGCAACCAGAATCCACTAAGTGGGGGAATGTTAGCATCCTCGGAACCAGCCGTTTGAGTAGAGTCAGCGGAAGAAGCCATGCTCTGCAAGAGGATATGGAGGGCTGAGTCAGGGATGGAGTGGGTACACTGAGGTAGCTTGTGCTACAGTGTGTGTTTCTGTAATGCAGAGTGGTTTGTGGGTAAATAGAGGACTGATGTCAGTATAATATGGAAGTCAATGTTGATTTATATATGGAGTTTTTTCCCTCAGCATGTGAACATTTTGCATCACTGTCTAATAGCAGCTGAAAGCAAAGTACTCTAACACAGTTGAAGGTAGCAAGCCTTGGGAAGTAGGGGGCCACATGTGACACCCGGTCCCCCTCTGTTCTTCTGCTTGGCTGTTTGGTGCCTGTTCTGTCTGGAAGGGCTTTGCAGACATTCCTTCCTGGTCTTTGTGCATGTGGTTATTTGTTCCATACCACTCAGCTGTTTCAGCCTTTCTGATTACTCCTTGTACCACATTCCCCCTTCCTTTTTTGAGGTAAAGAGCTATATTTACTAGGATATTTCTTTACTAGGAATTTAACATTAAAAAAAATTTCAGCGATTTTGTGATGATTGTTTTTGTTAGTGCTTGAGTTAAATTCTTTTCCAGCCCTATTTTTCCAATAAGCCGTTATTTTTAGAGTTTGATCTTGAGAAGTGTTAGGTTTTTAGGAATACATATATCCAATTATAGAAGAAATTCCCATGATTCCTTTTCCCTAAGTTGAACAATACTGGAAGGAAGGGTGAGAGGGACTAGCGGGGTCTGTGGAAGGTTTTTCCCAAGGATTTGCAGACCTATCCATGCTTGGCTGCAACTTGGTCAAAATCAGTTTTCACTGGGTGACTGTTTCCCCAAGTGCTCTTCATTATATATTTAAGTGGTTGGCTTTCTGCATTTCTCTACTCTCTGATCTCTTGTTGCAGTCTGAACAAGCTTCCGAGGCTGCGTTACTCCCACAGCTGAACAGAGCCCCTTCCCAGGCTGCAGAAAGTAGTCCAGCGAAGAAGGTAAGGCAAGCACGAGGGTACCAATGTGATGGCATTATGAGCCCCAACCCTGGGCTTCCTGCCTCTATTAGTAGAGCTGTTGTTTTAAGGTTTCTGTGTCCTCAAATGAATGTTAATAATCCAGATTTCCTAGAATCTGGGTTCTTTGTGAAGAGTAGGTTCCTAAAGATTCCTAGGCTTGACACTTGATGTCACTGACAGTTTGTACTCCCCTCCTCAACCTCCCTGCTAAACATGGTGGCCTTGCTTTGGCAAGATCAAAAAGGGCAGTGGGGACGGACAGATGTCTTTAGTGAAATGCTACACACCTCCTAAGCCTCTGTGAGCACCTCCTGGCAATGAGGTAGGCTCCCCTTCCTGGTCTTTTTACCACGGTCTCCTCTTGCATCCTGGCATCTTCACCTCTGCCCAGCCACACCACTGAGTCACCTGTCATGTGCTCAGTAAGCACCACTCACTCATTGTGCTCTCCAGTTATCTTCTCACCCTCTTCTCATTCTTCTCCATTCTCTCCCAGGCTCTTTCCCCATCACACTGAGTGGGCCTTGGCCTAGGAGCACAGGTGAGGCAGGCTCCTCCAAGGAAGCAGGCCAAGTGTCTCCTTCCAGAATACACTGTGGCTCTTTTGCTTGATTTCGTGTAGGAATCAGGGGTAGGAAAATGATGAGCATATGACTAAGGCCTTTACAGACTTCAAAATTTATAACATTCCAGAAAGCCCAAAAGTGAGGCAGGAGCCAATTTTGTCTTCAGTTAGAAAAGGCCCAGTGGTGTGAGGTGCACTCAGGGTCTATGTGAGTTTTAAATCACGAGAAGAAGTGATAGACTACTTGAAACAATTAAAAAAAAAGAAAGAAAGAAAAAAGAGGAAAGGCCACTGGAATTTGATTCTTATGTCCTTCCAGATGACAAAAAGGGGTAATAGGCAGCAAGCATTAAAGAACAAAACAGAACAACAACAGAGGCTGCGGAATCCACTGCCTGCATCCCTTCAGTTCTTGCCGAGCCTTGATCAGCCACATGTCCTTGGGTGTGGAGTCTGGATAGAGTACCCACCTGATCTTGGGCATGGGGCTAGAGGAATGTGGGGCACTGGCCTGAGGGGGTGGGCAGCACTCCATATTTTAACTTGGTGGTTTTTTGTTTTTAACCACAGGACATACCATATTCTCAGCCCCCATCAAAGCCCATTCGTAGGAAATTCAGACCAGAAAATCAAGCTACAGAAAACCAAGAGCCTTCTACCACTGTAGGTGGGCCAGCTTCAGTAGCTACTGTGAAACCCCATCCGACAGTCCAAAAGTAAGTCAAACAGATAAATGAGAGCAAGGCCAGAAACTTCCTTTTAAATCTGCATATATACATATATGTAAATGTGTTTACATTTACAGTCACACCCACAGAAGGACTTTATGGTTGGAAGTCTTCCCTACTCATCTCTAGGACTTAACCTGACCCACTGGGGCAGGTGCATCCTACGCTGTAGGGTTTGGGTTTGGGTTTGGGTTTGGTTTGATTTCCTTCCCTTCCTCTCTCTTTTCTTTCTTTCTTTTTTTTTTTATTGAATCATAATTGATTATACATATTTTGGGGATTCAGTGTTGACATATGTTGATCAAATCAATATTACTAGTGTGTAGATTGTTGCAAATTGTACTTATTCTTTATGCCCCTTGTCCAGTCTCTCCCTATCCCCTTCTCCCTCTGACCTCCCACCACTAATAACCCTAGATTTCTTCTCTCCCTCTGAAAGAGTAATGGTTACTCTGTTGATTTGTTGCCTAGATGATCTGTCCAATGTTGAAAGGTGTGTTTGGGTCCCCTAATATTATCATAGGGCAGATGCTTCTTCTGTCACTCTGGAATGGGCTTTGTGGAGAGAGACGTCTCTTCTTTTCTTTATCTCTGCTGGTGAGTCTCCTTGTGTCAATGCACTCCAGTGGCTGGTGGACCAACTGCATGGTGGTTGTGATGTCTAGCCACTTTCGTAGCAGCTGTGGTTACTGTGGTGGCAGTGGTGGGCTACCCTCATGGAGGTGATGTTTTTGGCGTGCTCCATGGTGCTGGTGGTGTGCCTGGTTGTGGGTGGCGGGGGGGGGGGGTTCCTGTCCCCTGCTCTATGCTCCGCCTCTCTCCTTTCTTTCCTTCCTACTCCTCTTCCTTGTACTGGCCCAGATTTTCCTAGGAAGAAGGTGGTATAGTCTTCCCTCGGTATCCTTGGGGGATTGGTTCTGGGACCTCTGTGGATACCAAAATCTGCAAATGCTCAAGTTCTCTTATAAAATGGTGTGGCATTTGCATATAACCTATACAATCCTTCCATATACTTTAAATTATCTCTAGATTACTTATAATACCTAATACTATGCTTATACATCACTTCATGTGGATTTAATGTAGTACTCAGTGCGCAGCAAATTCAAATTTTGCTTTTTGGAACTTTGTGGATTTTTCCCGTCACATATTTTTGATCCACAGTTGGTTTAATCCACAGATGTGGAACCCATGGGTATGGAGGTCTGGCTGTACTGTCAGTGGCACTTTTCCCTCTTTGCCTATTTTATCTCCTGTTCCCCCAGGGCAAATGGCTAGCTCCATGACCCATAGATCCAACTTTCAGTAGATGTTGTATGTGATTTTAAAAAAATCCCCATGAAGAGTTTTGTTGTTGATCATCTCAGCACAGAATCGGCACATGTAGAACCTCCATAATATCTATTTAACCAGCTGCAACAGATACTGGAGAGATGGTGGGGACACCTGAGGACATGTCCAGGGACTGAGACAATGATGCTCTGGAGAAACCATGCTTCTCTAGAAGACTTTGGCTTTGAGAAGAGTCATCATTTGCCTCAATTTCTCTGTAGTGAAGTTGAGATGTTGAAGGTAGAAACCCGCTGCTGTCACTTGACTTCAAGTGAACCTAACTAGTCTCTAACATAAATGCTCAAGATCCATCATGACACTGTGATAGGGGTCCTACAGGTCTCCAGCTGCTGTGAATTTTCTTGTGTTTACACTGTTGTGGAAAGAAAAGTAGCAGCTTCTGTGGATGGTGTCAGCAATCCACCTTTGAAGCCAAAGTCCCATTCTGAATCTCTGCAGTCCTCTTCTTCAGATGCTCCTTGTCCCCAAATGGACAGTTCCCTGGTGGTATCAGTCCATAAAGGAAGTACATTTTATCCTCATGTTCACTGAGAGCTTTGACCATCTTCTAGCCACCCTCAAGCCTGGGGGATGGATCCCTGTCAGGGACAAAGATGGCTAAATTTTCTTCCATGTTCTACCCCAGCATTCAGCTTCTTGTTAATTCTCATCAGTCAGTGGTGTCTACAACATCCTCCAAAGTACATGGCAGTGCATCTGGTGGAGTTCACAGAGAGATCTTTTCTTTTTCTGTTTTTTTTTTTTTAAACAGCTTTATTGTAATATAATTTACATAGCATATAGTTGATCCTTCTAAATATATAATTCAGTGTTTTTTAGTATATTCACAAAGTTGTATAACAATTATTACAATCTAATTTTAGAATATTTTGTCATCCCAAAAAGAATCTCTGTGCCCATTAGCAGTCACTCCCCATTCTCCTCCTCCCCCAGCCCCTGGCAACCAAAACTCTACTTTCTGTCTCTATGGATTTGCCTATTTTAGACATTTCATGTAAACGGAGTCATGCAATGTGGTCTTTTGTGACTGGCTTCTTTTACTTACAATGTTTTCATGGTTTGCCTGTGTTGTAGCATGGATCAGAACTTAATTTTTTTGTTGCTGAATAACATTCCATTGTATGGATGTTCATCCATTTATCAGTTGCTGGACTTTTGAGTTGTTTTTACTTTTTGGCTATTAAGAATAATGATGCTGTACCATTTATGTACAAGTTTTTGTGTGGACTTATGTTTTCATTTCTCTTGGAGTGGAATTGCTGGGTTGTGAAGTAACTCTATGTTTAACATTCGGAGTAACTGCCAAACACTGTTTTTCACAGTGGCTACATCATTTTACATTCCACATTCCCATCAGCAACGTATGAGTGTTCCAGTTTCTCCACTTCTTCATCAACACTTATCTGTTTTTTGATTGTAGTCCCTAGCACGTGTGAAGTGATATCTTGTTGTGGTTTTGATTTGCACTTCCTTACTGAGCATGTTTTCATGTGTTTATTGGTTATTTGTATATTTTCTTTGGAGAAATGTCTACTCACATCCTTTGCCCACTTTTCATTGGATTATTAATCTTTTTATTTTTGAGTTATGAGTTCTTTATATATTTTGGGTACAACTTCCTTGTCAAATATATGATTCACAAATATTTTCTCCCATTCTGTGGGTTGTCTTTTCACTTTCTTAATGGTATTGTTTGCAGCACAAAAATTTTTACTTTTGATGAAGTCCAATTTATTCTTTTCTTTTGTCACTTGTATTTTTGGTGTCTTATTTAAGAAACTATTGCCTAATCCAAGCTCATGCAGATTTGCTCCTGTTTGCTTCTAAAAGTTTTATAGTTTTAGGTCTTACATTGAAGCCTGTGGTCTATTTTGAGTTCATTTTTGTGTATGGTATGAGGATGGAGTCCAATTTCATCCTTTTGCATGTGGAAATCTAGTTGTTCCAGCACTATTTGTTGAACGGAGATATTTTCTTTTATTTTTTATTAGTGAGTATCCCTCACTATGATACCATCTCACTAGTGAGGTCACCACATGGTGTCTAGCTGAGAAAGGCTAATGCCTGCCAGCAACACAATTAGTGGTGTAAATGACAGGGAACTTCATATAAATTCTTCCCAGACCAGTTTATTTTGTAGTGATAAGAAGTGACTTAACATTCATAATTTTTTAAGCCCCAGAAGGAGAGACAGCCAGACACATAGTGGTTAGCCTGTATATTCCTTTCTCAACCAGGGTTCTTGGAGAGGATTAAGCTCTGATGCCATTAGACATCTGTCATATAGTGAGTTGATCTCTCTTCTATGCATCTAGAATGGTGGTTGCTATGTACTATCATGTTTGGGAAAATTGAGAAAGAGTCACAAGTAATTTTCTGTATGTTTTAATTCTCTAAGAGAACACTTATTGAGAAAAGCTAAAAAATAGTCATCGGCTCTTTGGGAAATTAACATCAGAACCGACCCATTATAAGAAATAAATTCTGCTTTAGATATCACGTTGTCTATTCCAGTTAGCATAAAGGAACTAATAAGATTTTTTCTTCAAGTGACCTGGATTATATAACATGGAGGTAGATGTTCTATATCAAGTTGAAGAAGTTTACCTCTATATCGTTTTCTGGGAGTTTTTATCATTAATGGGTGTTGAGTTTTATCAAGTGCTTTTTCTGCATCAATCGATATGGTCATGTGATTTTTCTTCAGCCTGTTAAGATGGTGGATTATATTGACCAATTCTTGAATATTGAATCAATCTTGCATTCCTGGAATGAATTCTTCTTGGTCTTAGTGTATACTTCTTTTTTTATATTGCTCAATTCTGTTTGCTAGTATTTTCTTAAAGTTTTTTTTGTATCTATATTCATGAGGGATTTATGTATAATTTTATTTATTTATTTATTTATTTTTCCTTTTTGTCATTTTTCGTTACCGGTAACGGGATCGCAACCCTCGGTGTCACGCCCGTACCGCGACCGGCAACGGGATCGCAACCCTCGGTGTCGTGCCCACACCACGCTCAACCAGTGAGCGGACTGGTCTCTATATGGGATCCGAACCCTCGGCGGGAGCGCTGCCACGCTCCCAAGCGCCGCACTCTACCGAGTGCGCCACCGGGCCGGCCCTAATTTTATTTTTTTATACTATGTCTAGTTTTGGTATTAGAATAAACCTCATAAAATGAGCTGGAAAGTGTTCTCTCCTATTTTATGGATGAGATTTTTGTGGAATTGGTATTGTTTCTTCTTTAAAAATTTGGCAGAATTTTCCAGTGAAACCATCTAAACCTAAGATTTATTTTGGGGGAGTTTTAAGAAAATTACAAATTTTTATGAAATTTGAAAATTTCATAAAGTTTTCAAAATCAGTTTGAAATTACTTATGTCATATTGAGTGAATTGTGGTAGTTTGTGCTTTTGAAGGAATTGGTCCATTTCATTTAAGCTTTCAAATTTTAGAAAACTCAAGAGAAGGAAAGTCTTATTGTATTTACTCGTACATTTTTGTTGTTCTTCCTTCCTTCCTCATGTTCCAAGATTCCTATATCACTTCTTTTCTGTTTCAAGAACTTCCTTTAGCCATTCTTTTAGGGTAGGTCTACTAGCAACTTATTCCCATAGTTTTCCTTCATCTG